TGTATATTGTACCTATTCTTATCAAAATTCGCTTTCCAACGATTCCAAAGATTTGTTTCCTGTCACTAGTAGGGCTTCGGAAGAGAGCAAGATATTGGGCATTTCGACTAATATCTGTATTAAACTTCCCCTTAGGAAACATGTTCTGAAGCAAGAGGATAACGCTAGCGTTTCTATGACGACCCTGCGTAAATAATCGAGCTACTACAGGACTGTCTATCGCTTCGGCCATCAGATCATCCAGTATGATTATGTTGTTGTACTTGGTATTAATTAAGGAATGGTCCAYAATGAGCGTGCATATATCCAGTTCTGGAAGCACGAGAGCAGCGTAAGAGATGATCGAGGCGTAGCCGAGAGCATCTCTAGCTGCTAGAGTGCTTCCAGAACTGGATATATGCACGCTCATTATGGACCATTGCTTTTATAACATAGATAACATAGATAACGACTTTAATTCTCTGAAAAATGTATGATCACATGTCAAAACTCTCTTAAATGTGCGCGCGCACACTAAGGAAATTTACATTTTTACCGTTGGCTATTAAGAAAGTTCGAAGTATGTTTTACAGCGCCTCTTCTCTCCGCCTTCGCGGAGAAATGAGATTCTAAAAGAAGATGAATCACAGAGCTTATGTTCATGGTCTACACCCGTTGCGATAGATCAGCGATCACTTCTCGTGAATGACCAGTTGAACGTTTTGAACTGTGCAGTTGCTAAAGATGGAGCCAAACTGGCTCGCCGGATCTTGTCTTGCAACTTCTACAACCACATTGTTGTTTTTAACAGCTGTGTTCAGATGAACAGTAGCCGGGACAATCGCTTGGCTTGAGGAAGTGAGACTTTGGGACAGCACTTCAGAACAGTGGTGCAGTTGTTCGGTCGAAGGCCTCGCATTGTAGTGTGCCAAACTCTGCTCGTTTCGATGCCCAGATATGGCCATTATATGGCGATTAGGAATGCCTGCATTTGCATCACTGTGATTGATGTGGCTCGGACTGAATGGTTAGTGTATGGGCGGGATAATTTGGCCTCTTTACTGATCTCTTTCATCATTCCGTCCAGCTTATTGAYGCCAACGTGCCTGTTTTCGTACCACAAGTCGTCTGTTGGGGACCAATTTCTCTTCGGATACTGGAAGAGGGATTCGCAGTTAGGATTGGTCTTTGACAAATACAAGCGCAGAGCTTTGTAGCCGTCGTTTGGATAGTCAGTTTCATACATTCGAGCTTTTTTCTCTGAGGAGTTTACATCATTTATGCCGCCCGGGTGGTTCTTGGTCGCTTTGTCGTGCGACATTGTAGCCCGCTTGCATCAACTTCAAACTTCAAGCTTGATGTCTTTAGCTCTCGCTGGCCTTCTCTTCCTCTCCGGCAGAAAAAC